AGATCACTAGTCATTCATTGGTAACATGTGTACGTCGGTAATCTATTGATAAAGATTAACGATCTTACCTATAAAGTCGACGATTGATTTTGGGTTTTCGACGGGTATATTAATTACTAACTAAGATTCATTGATATTTTTAATTTCTAACACACATTTCGACGGTAACCAATAAATTTCCACAAACAAATCGTCGGAAATAATAAAACTTCGGAGAATTACCAGAAATGCTTTTTACAAATGAATAGGTTTTCAAAAACTTACATTAAAAAATATTCAACAAATTATCGACGAAATATATACTATTGTTATACACTGACGGTTTTTCTATTGTCAGTAAGCAACATTACCGACAAAATATTAGTGATATATTTATCAATTATCAGTGGATCGGATCTGTCCATCACTTGTAGTATAAGATAATGAACTGACTAAAATCTGATGGAATTTTTTTTAGTGGTTCTTAATTTAGCTAGATATGATGCATGCATCGTGGTTCAAAGGTATATATAATGGATTGATGAAATGAAAGAGACATAATTGTTGATTGAGACCAATTATTAAAATATGAACATGCATGCATCTATATATATAGTTTGTCCGAAAATGCATGTTACGCAAATTTAGATAAAATCTTCACAGCATGCATGAGAAATATAATTGAAGTTTTTTTTTGTACGTCTAGTAAATAAACTTTCTTAAATAATTTTTTGTACGACTTATAATACTCTCGTTATTAAGACTAATCATCTTTAACATATAGATTCTCAACTTATATGTCGAAGCTGAAATCAGCATTAGAAAGAAGAAAAATGTGAAGTTGAACAAAAACTAACACATGTTGGTTGATATATCACTTAGAAAACAAATCGAAGTTAGAGATTAAATAAGAAGATCTAGTCAAAGTTAATTAGAGATTAATCTAAGTAGGAGATTTAATATAGAAAGTAATCAGAATAAAATTCAAAAACTTGAACTTCTATAGGAGAATGAATAGATCTAGCTGAATCTTTACTACAAAAGTCAAATTTTTATTAAACTTTTTTTTTTAATGAATGTTAAACTTAATTCAACCAAAAATCCATAATAGATTATATGCATCCTTAAATAGAATATTTTTGAACATTAAAATAGACTTTAAAACGAAAGAAGAAAAAACACCCCCGGATTAGCTTCTTAAATCGAACCAAACCAAAGACCATCTTCGAGTTTGCGTGAGCCATGCATGGAGGTTTAGAATTAATCTTCTAAGGTTTATTAAACTTCAAATCATTTTACGAGGCAATATCACACCGCAATTTATCACAAATTTTTTTGTTATACGGTAATAAGATTTATTTCTTTGTTAGTTAATGAACTGAAGTGTTCTAACTTAAGATCCCTATATTTTTCATCAGAAAAAGGAAATTTCACCCCACCAAAAATCAAACTAGAAAATAAACGTAAAAAAAGATAGTTTTTTAGTCACCAAGTGTCGTTAGCTCAACTGGTAAAGACTCTAGGCGAAGCTTAAAGGTCGCCGGTTCGAGTGACGCTTGGGACGAAACTAATATTACATGATGTGGTTTCGGGTCTGGAGGATTACGGTTTTGGCTCAGAACCTACTGGTATTTCAAAAAAAAAAAAAAAGTTTCTTAGTCTATTACGATTAAACGAACAGGGTTTTTTTTGACAAAAGAAAAGAAAAAACTCCCTTTGACAAGTTCCAACAATGCATATTTAGAATTTATAGTCTATTATAGCTTTGGTCTATAACCTGGCCGAAATGATCAATGTAAGGGTCGTCGAAACAAAAAAATTCACTTTCTATATCGTCCAGAATTACATAAATCTCCAAACCCATGTGTTAGAAAATATAATAAAAAAAAATCTATGTATATATATAGAAAAAATATTACTAATAAGATTTTTTTTTTTCTAATAAATTTTTTTGAATTTTATAAAGAAAAATATTTAAAACATGAGAGAGAAAGGCATGGAGGCATGGGATTTTGCCTCTTCATTTAACGACAATACTTCTCTTCGTTGCCTTACCATTGGTTGGCATTCGCATGCATCTTCCATCTTATTTTAATTATTATTGTCGTTAATATATCCTATACTATTATTTGGGGAGTACACTTTATAAGATACCCTTAACTAACCTTCCCTTTTGTAAAAATTTACTTAAAAATGCCATTAGAAATAAAATTTTATAGAGTAAATTAATTCAACTCATTAAGGATAAACAAGTCAAATACTATTTTATGCAATTTAATTAATTTAATTTAATTATAAAAACGAAAATCTATTATTAATTCTTTTAAAAAGAATGACCAATCAAAATGAACATATAAGATTTGATATCTAACTTATCACATTAATTTGTTATTAATCATTATACTTCACCTCTCATCTTTATATTATTCTATTTCTATAAAATAAATAAATTATTATATCATCTACATAATAAATAAAAAAGTAAATTTTTTCCGCATATACAAATATTTGAATTTTTAAAAACGAATATAAATTGTTCAATGTATGAAAGAACAAATTTAACGGGTCAAAAATTCATATTTGAGTAATATATTCTTTTTTTAATATCATCAATACTTAATAGATCAAAAAGTTAAGAAATATAAATACTCTAATTTGATTTTTTGAAACAAATATTTATAATAGGCGGCGGGTTAAATATAATGTATTATATGATGAAATGAGTTATGATCCTTATAACTATTTGAATATTTATATGTAATTTCATATATATATTTTTTTAAATTCATAATTTTACATACTACAATAAAAATTTTAAAGATTTTAATTTGGAACAATTAAAATTTTTTTAATTTAATATATTAAAGAATATCATAAATATTTAATAGATTAAAAAGATAAAAAAAATTATAAATACTAATTTGATTTTCTAAAAAGATATGTTTAATATATTTATAGTAGGCGGCGGGTTAAAAGTAATGTATTATATGATAGAAAGTTATGATCCTTATAATAGACGACATTTTAAGATTTTATGATGAGATGAGTTAAATAAGGTTTGACACTTCTAAATATTTGAAAAATTAATTCTGCAAGCAATTTTGAAAATAATGAATAGATTGTGCCACAATATTTTCATAGGGATTGTAAAATGAAAATATAGACTCCACACATGGATCGAATTTTGTATTATTATATAACAAATATATGTTCATAACATATTCGATTATGTGAATAATTGGTAAATTCCGTAATTAGCTCAAACAAATCTCTATTTCAACAACCAATGAATTAGGTTTTGAAAAAATAATTTCTTAAATTAATTCAAAATAATAGCTAACTTTTTTAACTAATTCAAAATAATATACGTTTTAGATGCGATTCATTTATAATATTTTAATTTTTGATCTAACTAAATTATATGCACTCACATTTTGTGGTTGTTAACATAAATTAACTCATTGTTCAAACAATATTATTTTTTTTAAAAATAATATTATTTTCCGTTTTCATATCTTTAAAAAATATATCTATAATTGAGGATTACAGAAAAATAAAATTATATTCATTCTAATATTATATATATGGACTGACAAAAAAATTAATATTTTTTACTTACTATTATAATATATCACGATTTTATTCTATAACTATATAATATATAAATTTTGTAATAAATGAAATTCAACCCGTACTGTAGTACGGGTGATGATCTAGTTAAACTATATAGAATCTTCATTATGATTATGGTAATGCCTTTGTTACGCCTTTATTTGCTCCTCATGTGTTTTACTCTTACCTCATTTTCGAACTCCAAACTTAGTTCATAGTTTTGAAAGATTGGTGTAATTGTCAAACATTTTCTAGAATATATATGATCATATAGTTACGTCAAATAATTTATTTCAAAGTACTTGATCATGGTTTTTAGTCTATTGATTTTTTTGAGAGTTTATATAAAACTTTTTATCAAATAACATACTCAGTTGCTCACTCTTAAATTAGTCAGGTACTTTGACGATCTATATTAAAAAAAAAACTCAATCTTTTGAATTTAAAATATTAAGTAAATATAGATAATAATTAAAACAGCAAGAACTTTGATGAAAATAGTAAAGGTTTGAACATAAAATATGAATTGATCAGAAATAAAACAAAAGGAAACCACCAGCTCTTAACTTTTTACATACATTTACACAAAAACGACACAAACAAATTTTGAAATTTGATTTCTTTCAAGGGTGATTTTTACAATGTTCTTATCTTTAATCGTTTAGGTAAAATTTGACACAAAAAGATTACAAATCTCTGTAAAAAGAAACAAATCTGGTATATAAAAAAAAAATTGGTCACAAATCACAATCAAGAAAATGTATGTGTTACATTTTATGAATAATGAAAGAATAATAAAATAGAAATAAGAATTGCTGCAAATCTCCGTCGAAGTTTATCTCCATTACATACCGAGTTCGAGGCCCTTCTCTGGGCGATGAAGTGTATGATTGGTGCAGATAATCAACAGGTAGAGTTCCTTACAGACTGTTCAGATCTGGTGAAGATGGTGTCTTCTCCAACCGAATGGCCGGCGTTTTCAGTGTACTTGGAGGAATTTCAGAGCGACAAAGAAGAATTCTCATCCTTCTCTTTATCTTTAATTTCTCGTAATGCTAATGTAAAAGCGGATCATCTGGCACGAAAAATTCGTACAGAACCGCTTCATATCACATTTGTAAACAACATTCCCCAGGAATGGCTCTTTTGAGCTCTAATTAATTTCGGATGAAAAAAAAAAAAAAAAATTGCTGAAGAGGACTCTAGTTGACATACACATCTAAAATTCTTTCCAATCATTTAAATAATGTATACGAATAACAAAACGCATTATTCCAATAAATAATACCAAAATTTAAAAATCGAAAGTGTAATGATGAATTGAACACCCCACGAGCCATTCACACTTTCAAAACTTTTTATTCTCCTAGAAGAAACTATAGATTATATCTCTCATTATCTCACTATCTCCATTTCCTTCTTCAAATCAATCATTCCTTTGCCTTTGCTCCAAACCCACCACAAATGGCTCTTGAAACTTTCCTAATAAAACTCAAAAACGCTATTTCCTCCAAACCAACTTCTCGTCGACCTCTCCGATCATCTCCTCCGATCACAACCACCACTTCCTCCGTCGGAGTTTTATCGTTCGAAGTGGCACGTGTCATGACCAAACTCCTTCACCTCACTCACTCTCTTACCGACTCCAATCTCCTCACTCTCCGAGACCACTCTCTCTCATTAGAAGGTCTTACCAAAATCGTCAACGGCGACGAAACCTTCCACCTCAGCCTTGTATGTGCTGAGCTCGCAGATAGCCTCGCCCACGCAGCTAACTCTGTTTCAAGACTGAGCCACCGCTGCACCACGGCCAGTCTCCGTTCTTTCCACCGCTTATTCCATGAGTTCGCCGATATGGGTCGTGACCCTCATGGATGGGTCATGAACTGTAAAGACACCGAAGCTAAGAACAAGAAAATCGAAAGGTAAATAAAATTTCTTTACACTTAAACATATAAAAACAGAGCAAAAAAACAGAGCAAGAAAACAGAGTATAACACAAAGAGATTGATTTTGTTTTTGTTGATGGAAACAGATATGTGAGTGTGACAACAGCTTTGTATAGAGAGATGGAAGAAATGACGATGTTAGAGAACTCTTTGAGAAAACAAAGTTCACAGATTGGGATCGAATTCGAAGAAGAAGACGACTTCGAGAACAAGAAAGATGTAATGAAAGTGATAGATCTACAAAACAAGATCGAGAGACAGAAACAACATGTCAAGTATCTAAAAGACAGATCTCTATGGAACAAAAGCTTCGACACTATCGTGTTGATTCTCGCCAGATCGGTATTCACAGCACTCGCTAGACTCAAATCCGTATTCTCCTCCGCCGCAGCCACTGGCTACATGGGCCACACCGTCGTGTCTTCTCTCCCTCGCTCTCTCTCTTCTTCTTCTTCCTCTATGAATCTTGTTCATCCTAGCCCAAACGACGAGGAAAGAGACAAAACGGCGTCGTCATCTGCGTTTCTTGAAGAAAGCTCAAAACTGTTGAAACCGCCGGAGACAACTCTCGGCGGAGCTGGCGTAGCGCTTCACTACGCGAATCTGATAGTAGTAATGGAGAAGATGATAAAGCAACCTCAGCTTGTAGGTCTTGACGCGAGAGACGATCTGTATTCAATGTTACCGGCGAGTGTGAGATCGTCTCTCAGGTCAAGACTAAAAGGTGTTGGTTTCACGGCGACAGACGGTGGTTTAGCGACGGAGTGGAAGGCGGCGTTAGGTCGGATCTTACGGTGGTTGTTACCATTGGCTCAAAATATGATTAGGTGGCAGAGTGAGAGAAGCTTCGAGCAGCAACACATGGCGACAGCAGCGAATAGTCAGAACAGAGTGATGTTAGTTCAAACACTTGTGTTTGCAGATAAAGTTAAGACAGAAGCAGCCATAACAGAGCTTCTTGTTGGATTGAATTACATCTGGAGATTCGAAAGAGAGATGACTGCGAAAGCTCTCTTTAATCTACAGTCTCCTCCTACTAATTACAGCTAATTTTATTGTAGAGTTTTGTTTTCTTCTTTTTTGTTTGATGGGTTAATTTTGATTTATTTGTATGTTTTTGGTTTAGTTTGATAATACGAATTATGAAAGTGATTTGGGTGGGGTTATATAAGAAAGATTATGTGATGTGTAACAATGTAGATATTGGAATGAATTTGAGTGATTGTTTTCTTTCTGTTTAGATTTAATGTTGTTGTTAACTCTCAAACGGTGAGTTTGGAGGTTATTTAATCAAATTATCATTATTTCATAGGAAATGGAATTTGAATTAAACCAGCTCTTATTATGAAAGTTTTGTAGTACAAAACGTGGTTAAATTATTTACAAATGTGTACAACAACTATGCTCTTAACTAGAAAAACATATGTAATTAATTTTTTAAAAGTAGATTTTTTTTTTTAACTTTTAAATCAAGATTATAGCGTAGTGATTTGTATTGAATTTAGACTCAAAAGTGTGCGTATGCAAATTGAAGACGAAAAACAAAAATCATCCAACTTAATCAAATCACATATTTTGAACGATTTTTTTTTTACAGCGTTTCAAACATACATATCTTATTTACATTTGTTTCTTTGTAATGGTCATAACAAAACTAATTACCAATAAGTTTATGTTTAATTAACTGATTTTATTTTATTTCTACTACGTGTTCTCTTGATTTTTTTTCTTCTGTTACAATCTTGATTATGCTTTCCTTTTTCCGATTCAGGTTGGGAAAACTTAACTTTGTTCTGAAAAAAATCGTATGCAAAAAAATTGTCTCTAGGTCCTAGGATGCTAGAACCATAAGTGGGAGATTTAGTCGTTAAGAGTTATTATACTTATGATGGATCTCCTAGGTAAAGTTGGTTGCTTTACTCCTTTAGTTGGAAGGAGCCGAGATTAGAAAAGAAATATAAAATTTCAGAAAAAGTTTTGCATATGAATATTGATGATATGAATCGAGAGAATAGAATTAGATGTCGAATATATCAAGTGCACCTAGAATGCTTTAAAATTCGTTTTGACTTTACAAAGATAAGTACTAATCAAATACTGTAGTTAGATGGGTCCAGCTCATGCTAGAGATCAAGAGTCAACTAAAGTTTTGTGTTTTCATAATACTTTGGTGGATTAGTTTTAGGGAAATTGTAAATAATTAAGTGAAATGATTTTTTCAAATCAGGTTAATGATCATTAGGAAACATGGAATTTTATGTTGTTTTTCTTTCCAGAAGAATTCTATATATGTATAAAGATAAATATGCTATGTTAAGTAAGCCGTTAAGGTGGTGAATGTTAAGGTCTAGATTTGATATATAATTAGAATTTTATATCATTTTACCTTTTAGATGTAAATTTCTATTTGATATGTATATAATTAGAAATTTTTTGTAATTATTTTTTTGCTGACCATAACTCTACATATTGTTCTCTGCATGATATTTTTCGTTCCTAAGATTACCTTGCAACTTAATCCACAATTTAAAGTTGTTCTCTAAGTAATGTTATTTTTAGTAACACAGAATTCGTTAATTCTTTAAGGTTAGTAACAATGGCTTGATAATAATTTAGGTTTATTGGATCCTAACAGTGGGCCAACGAGACCAGCCCAGTAGAACGTTATAGTAAATGTCTCGCCGTTCGGGTAGTATAATGACGACACGCTGTTCAGCAAACCTGGAAGAAACGGCAGCGAAAAGTAGAGAGCTTAATATAAGAGAATCCCACATCGGTTGAAAGAAACAAGAAGGCTTCGAGACCGGAGTATAAAACAAAAACTTGTGTGTTCGTGCAAAGTACTTACCTGGACGGGGTCGACTCGTGATCAAGAATACGAGTGGCTTAAGCTAGTGACCGACATCGCACATTAGTCTGGGGTGCTTAGCTTAAGGTCTTCCCAAGTGGAAGAGCCTACGTCATTATTTGTGGCAGAGGGGGTTTGCGTTCGCGCAGCCCCTACCATTTTTTCAGTCATAATGTTTTTCATTAATCAATTGTTATAGATATGTCTAATGTTGTGGGTATATGACCAATTACTTCTTAAGTTTTATTGATCACCTAGCTCATATAATATTGATGAAGAAGCCTTCTCTAAATAAATCTACAGATGTTCATGATGGAACTTGTCCCTTGATGTCTTCCTCTAAATATATATTTGGAACTTAAAACATATTTAGTTTTCCTTGTGTATTTTCTACAAAGTTTGTTTTCTTCTATTCAAGATTCAATATTATAATTGTTATCTTGCAACAAATTCTAAAATTCATATGGATATGGACGAACGTATACTATAAAGAAAGGGTGACCGTACCATTGATTCATGACCCACAACTAAAAGTATTCAATGATTTTTTGTTTGGTTCTCTTAATGGGTTGGTGAATTTGTATCTGAAAGAAACAATGTTATATTGAATGATTTATGATTGAATTAAAAATAAAAAGAAGAAGCTAGTGTTCCTAAATGAGAAATCAAAAATTGGGGTTGGACCAAGAGTTATTTCAATTGAAACAAAATTATGAAGAAAAGATTAATGGATTAGATTGTGAGATTAAGTGGAACAGAGAATGATGACAATAAAATAAAGTCAACATGAAGTGGATCTACAAGTTTGGTGACACGACACCAAATGGTTTAGGTGAATCTTCATGAGAAAGAAGAATAGTTAGCTCTGATCCCACGACATACACGCTTTAAAATCTAAGTGGATTTAGTTACTAACACAACATCTCATTGACTAATCAAACCCATAAAAAGCCTATAAATAAAGAGGACAACGTAAGAGATACGAACAAATGTCTGAAATGGAACCTAAAGAAACAAAGCCACCTCGAAAACAATTGAGACAGCCTCCTTCTGTTCCTTTCATTTGGGAAGAACGGCCTGGCTTCCCCAAGAAGAATTGGCAACCTTCACTAGCCACCTTCGTGCCTTCTCCTCCTCAGCTTCCGCCACCTGTCCCAGTCCCGGTTAAGCTGGTCACATCGGTTCCTTTCCGTTGGGAAGAAACGCCTGGAAAACCACTCCCCGCTTCCTCAAATGACCCACCACAGCTTCCACATCCACCATTGGAAACTGCTACGACTCCATTACCACCTCCAGTTCCAGTTCCGGTTAAGCAGGTTACTTCAGTTCCGTTCGATTGGGAAGAAACTCCTGGACAACCATACCCATGCTTTGTTGATACCAATCCACCTGAGCCGTTGGATCAACCGCTGCCACCGCCTCCCATGTACGGTGATGTTGAAACCAGCAGCGATATTTTTGATGACGCAAGCAGTGATTCCTTCAGCTCTGTGCCGTCTCTATTAGCAACAAACCGCTCGGTTTCGATATCCGGTGCTGTTGCGGTGGATGAATTTGATGACAACCTGAATAGAGTGACAAGTTCAATGCCAACATCGCCAGCTTATGAATCTGATGACAGTACGAGCAGTTACATGACGGGCGCTTCCAGTCTTGTGGGAGCGCCGTTCTTGGAAAAGCTCTTTCCACGTCTTCTTCCATCAGAAAAGGTCAAAGCTGCTGATTCTGAGGACGTTCAGGTTTCTACTCATCCGTTGCATGAAGAAGTAAAGCTTACTACAGAACCTGACAACATGAGTATTGGCTTTCCTGTGAGGACGCCGCAGACACTCGGGGAGCTGATAATGATGAGCCGAAGGAGAAGTTATATGAGAAGAGCTGTTGAAATGAGAAAGCAGAATCCTTACAAGGTAAAACTCTCAAATATCTTTTCTCTTAGTCTATTCCAAAGCCAAATACACCGTAACAGTATATCACGCTCATACCTAAATTCAATCATGAAAAAAAGATTCTGAAATGTTAACACTTGCCTGGATAAACTAGCAGGAATTTACAAAGAATGGAGCTGATAGCTGCTGCCTTTTTGTGCCGGGAATCAAAATGATAGAAGGCCTTGAGTGGAAAAAATTTCAACCGAGGTTGAAGCTCATTTAGAAGAAAACACATACAAAGATCCTCACCATTTGTATCCCGAAACAGCAAATTTCGGAAGTCGTTTTCTCTTTTGATAGACAAGGAACTTGTATATGCAGTACCGTAAAAATAGATGCGAGATTCAATGCCAGACTCTTTCAGTTGCAGAACAAGGAACTCATCGTTTATTTCTTTCCTTCTCTTTCAAGCTATAACAACTTGCCAAAATAATGTCTACCGATAAATAACAATACCACACTAACCTAAATTCTGGTTCGACCTCAAGATCTAGATGATTCCCTAAGCTGTCTGATCCGTTCCATAATCACTGGGATATCTTCATCAGCTAAAGCGGTAAAACAGCACCTGAACCAACCCGGTTCTATACAATAACAGGCTGTTCCTGGAGTGGCATTAATCTTAGCAGCAGTCAATAGCTTCTCAAATAACTCGAGTTCTCCTTTCTCACTGTAAGATGTCAGTAAACTGCTCATGTCAACCCAACAATACAACCCACCACCACTCTCAGCACATGGAATTCCTAATTGTTTCAAACCTTCCACAAACCGAATATGCTTATCCCGGATCCTTTGCCTGTGTGCTGTCATGTATTCCTCAATGAATCTTACATCAGATAGCAGAGAGATAAGTATCCTTTGGACTGGAACAGGCACTGATGAAAATCTCATCAGCTTCTTTGCAGCATTTACTACGTCTTCATGAAAGGAGTAGATGACTCCAGCTCTAAAACCGGGGATTGAAAGGTCTTTTGACAAGCCATAGATGATATGAACCCTACTCTTATCAAATTCCCCTGAGCCAGCGATCTCAGCCATGCTAACAAACTCTTTGTCCCCGTAAACAGAACCCGCAAATATTTCATCAGAAATAACATGGATGTTTTTCTCTTGAGCAAATCTCAAAATATCTTGGAGTGTCTCCCTTGATAATATGTTTCCAACGGGATTTGATGGGTTTGAAAAGAGGATGCCAGAAACCTTGCTTCCTCGTTTTCTAGCCTGATTCAAAGCTTGTTCCAGTGCGGAAACCGTTACAGTAAAATTGTCAGAGCTACGGCAGTGTACTGGTATAAGCTCAACTCCTGTCCGGAATTTAATATCCCTGTCAAAGCTGCAAAATTGAGTTTCCTTAGTACAATCGCATAGAAAGAGAAGACTGGTTTATAAATCGAAAACTTTCATCAGATACAAATGGTCAAGAAGTGTATGCTAAAAATTACCCTGGATAATATGGCGTAGGAATTAGAAAAGCATTTCCATGATCTGCCAAGCAGAAGGCCAATACTTCGATAGCAGGAGTCCCACCGGCTGTTATTACCATGTTTGAGGGGTCAAATGACACATTACCTCCCATTATTCGTGACATGAAATCAGCAAAAGCCTGAAACATGATAAAATAAATAGAAGAGGTAGTGAGGAGTGATCAAAGAAATTCAACAGTGTTGTGACAACAGACCCCATCAAGCGAAACCAAACAACTAAATCCACAAGTCTGAATACACAAATTTCTGATATATACAAGAACAGATATCAATCAAACAAATTCTAAAGCAATTTTGCAGTCAAATCTTTAACTAAAAACTGCAAAAAGCTATTCATGTTCAAAAAACTGAAGAATAATGAGTGAATGTTATCTACACATACCACTCTGAGTTCCAGTAATCCTTCAAAAGGTTTATACATGGCGATACTACTAATATCGAATTCACCATCATCAGATTGCATCATCGACTCCATCAAATTCTCAGACATCCATCTCTGTAGCAAGTCAAAGCACAGCTACAAACACCAATCCCCAATGAATCAGATTAAACCTCATCGCAACAATCACAATGAGAAGAAATCATCGAAAACTTTCAAAACTCACCGTACTCTCAGCTAATCCAAGCTGAATAATCCCATCCGTGTTCGTAATCCGATTGTACGGATCCGTTTTGACTCTCTCCAATCCAATGTAATAAGGAGAATCGGAAGGTTTAGCCACAGGAACCGCTCGAGACGAGACTCGAACTCGTCCGATCGAGTTTCCACGAGAGAAGAGATTAGTCCGTGACGACGTTCTCGGTAACTCCGTCGGGTCGGAGGGAGGAGGACGGCGTCGTTTTAGGTAAAGCTGGAGAAAGTAGAAGAGACAACAAGGAATGAGAGAGCCGACGAAAAGACCACCACGGCCTTGGATTACGCCACGGAGAGGTACTATCAGCCTCATCGGAAACTGCTCCGCCGCGGCGACAGAGTTGCTCCGGCGTTGAAAGAGATTCGAGCCGTTCGTTGAGAGTAACGAAGTTGAAAAAGAGGGACAAAGTGTGTGGCAAAGTGTTGAATAAATACAAAAGTTTTGAGATAAATTGGCAAATTATTTTTGCATATTAGCAATTTGTCTCTACGTTTGAAAAGTTAACTAAATAGCCCTTCTAATATTGGTGAAATTATTTAAAGATCGTCACAGTTTTTAAAATAACAATCAAACCCACAATCATGATCCAAAACTTTCTCCAACACACAGTAGATGAGCATTTAACCATTACATATATCTGTCAATTGAAAGGTTCTAAAAAAAATCTAAAGTACAATTCCATAAAAAGACATAATTAATCTTTGTATTCAAAATCTCAGGATAAAAAAATATCAGACCGCCTGATTGGGGCTGCTGCTATGCCAACCTTTAGTGCAAGGAGGTATTTCCATGAACTCGTCGAACTCATTCACGTGAACATCACAGCATTTCCACTGCACAAAGAAAACATTGACATAATTCAACACAAACTCAAAAAGCTAGAGGAAAAGGGTAAAAAAGAAAGCTGACTAAGCAAAGAAAGGCGTTACGCACTCCTTTCAGTCTGTCGTGGAAGACCGGAGGACCTGGATGATAGCTACAAGCAGTCTCGTGGTTGTCTCTCTCTTTGAATGTTTTTCCACATCCTTTGTTGTTGCAGACTTGCGGTTGATTAATGTCTATAACAACCGTTTTAATTGGAGGTGCTAAGGATTCAATCTTCTCTTCTTCTGCTTGTACAGGTGTGTTTAGGGTCTGCCTGATCTGTTCTTTCGGTTGGGAGCCTGTGTGATAAGGATACAATGTTAGATAGAGATTTCTTGCATTCACCAATGTGTCCCGAGAATTAAACCAGAGAGAGTAAAGATACCAACCATGGTCCGAGCAGAAGAAGCCTTGCCGGCATCTGGAGCAAGAGTCTTTTGATGCTGCATTGGCATCTGGAGATGAAGTAGGAGCCGCAACAGGATATTTTGGAGCCGGTTTGGCTAGAACTGGTTTCTCAGTTGTGTGTTTACCTGTTTTACATCTTCATTGCAAGAAATAGAAAAAAAGTATCAGTGTTTGCAATAAACCACAACCTGCATCATGAAAAAAATATCACAGCTTATATGATGAGGAGATATTATTACCCTGGAATTTCCAAGAACAAACTGAAATCATGACTTCTTTGCTTGCAGCAGCTCCACTCTTTCATTCCGTCGTGAAAAAATGGCTGCAAGTTAGAACATTTATAGCTTTAATTCTCTGAGCAAATGAGTGTGAAACAAAAAAAACATAAACAGTATTTGAAGAGTAAATTTGACTTACTCCCTGCTTGAACAAAAATCGGTAGTCAGTGAAAAGACCAACGCCAGCCACACCGGAAAAAGACAGTAAAAGAAGATGAATTACGATAAAAAGCTCAAAGAAATAGATGAATACGAAAGAAAAAACAGTATAGAAGGCCACATGTTAAAGATGAATATTGAGATAAAGCGTTCTTTCGATATGCAGCAAGCAAGAGATGTATAGATAGTTCTTATAACAGAATTGTTCTAATTAGCCTTCCAGGGACAGTCTAACGAGATCACTCAGTTCACTAAATTCAAAGGTTTCAAGAAAACAATACAATTAGAGAACTAAAGCTGTGTTCAAAGCTTACACCTATATGATTATACTTTTGCTTTCTTCTATCAAGTGTTCTAATAAGCTCACTGAATTCAGAGGTTGCAAGCAAACAACTTAGTTTAAAATTTGACAAATTAGAGAATCAAAGCAGTGTTCAATGCTTACTTACTTACAACTATAAGAAATCAACATGTAATCAGCTAATCAAAACCTAATTAAACACTTGCGTAATCATCATCTTCTCAAGATCAAAATCAAATTCGTAACCCTCACATCATAAAATCCACAATTCGTCAGATTCTTCAAATTCAAAAGCTAGCTCCCAAAGAAAATCTCGATAACCTAATCTCTAAGGGTTTATCAGAAAACTTGATCAAAGAAAGAGAAGAATCGATTAAAGAGTTGGGAGAGAAGAAGACGTACGGAAGCATGGAATTGACAAGAACCTTGAGGATTATTGTCATCGGTGAACATGGCGTTGCAGCCAATACGTTGGCACTGAAGCTTCTTCGTTGCAGATCCTACTTCCATTGTTTCTCTCTCTCTCTCGTGAAATTGTGAAGAAATCGCAGTGACGAATCCGTGAAAGGTTGGAGTAAAAATACTGAAAAATCAAAATTTAAGGGGCTTTTTCGTCTTTTTGCAAATCTTGACTTTTGAGTGAATCAACGGAGCGACGGAAGTGGTTAGCGCGTGTTCCAACTTTAGGGTCATTTTATTGGGGAAAATTCCCAAAAAAAACCCTAAGTAATTTTTATTTGGATATTTAATACCCAATTGTTTTGGGTTGGAATAAAAATACCTCAATTAATAAAGTTTAGTCTAAAAATTCCTTATGTTCGACTTGTTGGTGGATTCAAACCCGTGATTTAACGTCCGTTAACCGTCGTTACGGAATCAATAACCGGCGTTAAATTTTTCAACCCCTGTCTTTATAAATATATAAATGCATGTGTACTGTGTAAACTAATATATCATCCTAGTCTAGTGGTAAGAGGTGTGTTTTGTCACCCTAGATTTGCGTTACACAGTTCAGAGGAAGAAGGAGAGAAGACGGAAGGAAAAAAAAAAAGAAGAAAAGAGCGATAGTGGGAGGAGGGGGGATTCGAACCCGGACTGCAAGGGTGACAAAAGAGGCCAGTCACCACCAGACTAGGCGAATATATATGTTTTAAACCATAAAGAGATTGTATATGTCCTCTTAGACACACGGAATTGAAAAATTTAACGCCGGTTATTGATTCCGTAACGGCCGTTAACGGACGTTAAATCACGTGTTTGAATCCACCAACAAGTCGAATATAAGGAATTTTTAGACTAAATTTTATTAATTGAGGTATTTTTATTCCAATCAAAAACAATTGGGCATTAAACGTCCAAATAAAAATTACTTAGGGTTTGTTTTGGGAATTTTTCCCATTTTATTGTAATGAGTTTGTTTGTTATCCAATAAAAATTCTGAACCTTTTCTAAATAAAAAAATAATAATAAATTAAAATTAAATTGTGGAAAATAATAATGAGAATAACCAATATGAGTTTTTCATTTTTCTCTACTTAATTAGTTTTGATGCTGTATATTCGTTAGATCATATCCATCACTTCCTTAATTAGTTTTCTAAATTCATCTAGTTGTTGCTCGCACGCACTTTAATTATATAATGTTTCTTCGAAAAAAAACACTTGAGTTTATGTGAAGTTATGTGGAGTTTGAGCACAGAATTATAAAACTCTTTGTGGTTTCTATTGAGATTCTTATTTATGATGAATATTGAAGAAACCACAAGTGTGGATGTAGATGTTGATGGTCATCAAGAATGTTCCTCATTCTATATTCACTTGGAAGGGACTTAGTTTCCTTGCTAGCCCTACAAGTGAGCCGAAGAGGCTGCATCCAGAAACGGAGTTGGTAACAAGCTGTAATGAAGCGAGAGTCTTTGTTTTGATGTACATTTATCTAAAGAGTTACCAAAAACCTACTACTTCAAGATAAAAGAGGGAGAATTTTGTGTCATGTTTGAATACCCATGGCTCCCTCCACGATTTGGCGTGTGTAGGAAGTGGCGTCACGTTGAAGATGGATGTTTAGTCAATTTGGAGAGAAACAGTATTTGTTCAGCTGGTTCTGCAAATCGGTCGGCTAAAGTAGTTGAAAATTGTTCTGTATCTATGGTCACAGAGAAGTCTCCACCAGTGGCGGAGCTAGAACTTGTATTTACGGGGTCAAAATATAGAAAAAAATAATCATAGGGGTCAATTTATCTATTTATTGGTGTAAATTTAAAAAAATAGCCAAAAAAATAATCATGTATGCTTAACTACCTTCGCCCCTGGTCTCCACCCGACTCAGCTAAACATTTGGGAAAAGATCTAGTAGAGAATGCAACGAGTTTAACTAGGAGTCGGATTCATGAAATTGAGAAGAGAGGTGATGGAGAGGAGGATGAGGAAGGGGAGATCGTTCTCTTTTATTATGATGTTTCAAGCTTTGCTCTGTTTCTACTGATTTCTTTGCTCTTTTGAAAAAATGGATTCGTTTTCAGACTTTCCAAAGAAAAGAAAAAAACAAAAACCAAATAAATAAAGTGAGCTTTTGAAAATAAGTCTAAAATCATTTTTAATACAAAGAGCGATGGATTCAACAGCATATAAGGCTAATATCATTACAACTTTTACACCAAGTAAAACAAGCAAGCTATAAGTCGCTTGAACTACACAAGAAGGTAGTGAATACTAAATATATACCATATTACAAAAAATAAAGAGTTAAGAAAATACAAAAAGCAAGTCTTGGATCTGATTTGGTCAGTTTAAATTTTTTTTTTTGCTTCCTAGTTGAGTTTATCGGATCAAAATCTGTTTTTTACTTTCTTAAATCTTCCGTCAATGTACAAATGAGAGATCACTTGGTTCTGTTATGTACTTCTATCAATGATGCTTTCTCCTGCAAACTCTACAAACAAAACTCTCAGTCACAAGACTCACAACAAGTCAGTTTCCTATACGATTACTCATCGCATTTTATCAGTACATCTATTTTCATTACTATGTCCTGTCTTATCTCAGTTCTTAAATATAAATAGCTCTGGGAAAGAGAATGACCTCGTTCGGAGCACTGTTCTCAGAAGGGAACCATCGAAGGAGGACACCAAGGTTCATTGCACTCGGTATTAACTTGAATAGCAACGGAGTCGTTACCTGTAACAGCATTTTCAGGTACTGATAAGCTTTTGAACTACATATTATTTCAAGTATGTTCTCTTGGAATGCGAAAGGCTTGTTTGTATGATTAGGTAACTTACGAGACTTAGAGCTGTTGTGCCCAAAAGGAGTAGATACATTTTACCCTACATTGTCATTCATATTAAACCCAAAGTCACAAAGTTTAGGAAGAATAAAATGGTAAAGAGAGTGTTCAACTACAAGAGCAAAAGGGTGTTACCTCGATTACGTGTAGGTTTGACGCTCGGCTTAGAAGAACAAAGGCGAACTCTCCAATCTGAGCAAGCAGTACCCCGACCTATTTATAACATTTGCGACAAGAAATTTAGGTGATTCGTTTCAATAATTTAATACGTAGAAACTCACAGAAGCTTTAGTAGAGAGACAAAACTCACATGGAAAGATATCCTCATGTTGTACCTAAAAGCCTTAACAACTACTGCTGCAATTGCTGTCTTAATAACTATCACTAGAATCACCGACGCCAGAAGGATATCCACGTGGTTCCATAGAAAGTGCACATTAATGAGCATCCCGATACTAGATAGAAAGAGAGCGGCAAACAGATTACGAATTGGTTCCACCTACACCACAAAGTAAGGGAGATTCCAAAATGTTCATTTTGTACCAAGTACAGAAGTACTCGCACTGTAAAAATGACCAGAGTTTAGAATCAGTACCTGCTCTAATGTATGTTGAGCAAATTCAGTCGTAGACAACATAACGCCAGCCACAAATGACCCCAACTCAAGACTAAGACCCAGCTTGTCACTGCACTGAAAAAGTTTTGCAAGGAACCAACACTCTAAGTTAAGAATTGGAAATTACATCAATATGCTAATTATACTTGAATACTTCAGTGTCTATTGTAATCATCATTGTTTCTTCTGTAGTCTATTAGTAAGATGCAAGCTCAGGTAACAATTTACTCAGATGTTACAATACACCAAAAGGGATCAGAAAGCCAAGCAAGTACCGGTGTGCAAAGAAATGACAGAATTAGACTTACCCATGCAGATAGTAAGCAGAATGCCACAGCAGCTAACTGGTAAAGTTCATTTGTCTGCATTATATAATGAGAGACATTGGCAATAATTCGGATCCCACTTTAAGAAAAAATAAAGATAGTCAAGTAGTGTATATGAAGATATGACGTCTAAAACTTACTTGAGATGATAATTGAATCATTAGCTTCAAAAAACGGGGTACAAATGACCACGTTAATAGAGATGCCACAATGAGATATATGGACAATATCAGTAGCCTAAATTAGAAGAAGAAAATGTTTTATGTCAGATACGGTAATGAGGATATATAAGAGGTTCCTGGAAAAACTTCTTACAAGGGAACAACTTACAGCTTTCCCATTGATATAATTCCTTGTAGTAAACCACTGTTACCACCCAAAACTGGAAGCAAGGCGAATAGTAAACCAACAACACAGTCCTGAAAATTCAAGATTAAGCTAAAGGAAACAAAAACTTCGTAAAACGACATATTCAATTTGTAAATATAGAAGGATATGAGTGAAACCTGAAAGATAAGTATCCCTATCGTAACTTGACCATGAAGAGAACTTGTACTGTTCCGTTCTACCAAAAACTTTACCACCTGGTCAAATTGACATGTGGATTAAAAACAGAAACTCTGAGATGAAACCGGAAAAAGGGTAGCTTTTGTATTAAACTTGAGAAGAAAAAAACAAGAAAAAGTACCACTGCAGTTGATGACATAGATAAAAAGGCACCAACAAAAATACCCTCTGACAACCTTGCTCCACACAACTGCACATGTCATGGGATATCAATTCTGAAAATAATTTAAAGATTGCAGTATATGCACAAATACTGAAATCTTTGGCCATACCAAGGCAGTTACACCACACAAAAACATGAGTAAGACAATTTGAAGAAGCCCTCCAAGGACAGCAACTGGGCCAACGACTTTCAGCTGTAGCATTAACACAAAAACAACAGATTATCAGAGTGAGATTGCAAAGTCGACAGGAAATTGTATTCAAGTTAGTCAAAAGTAAGTAGATACCTACCTTCGTCATTGAGAATTCCAAGCCCAAAGCAAACAGAAGAAAAACAACACCAAACTGTGCTACGGTTTCAACCTGCCATAGCATCAGAAGAAAAAACAGAAAATATGAATACCAGAATACTTTTTCCGTATGAATGTGGGGCTCCACGTCATCCTTTCATTTATACCCATACTGATGGATTGAACTCAAACGACAAGAACAAATTTCAATGGTGAAGCCAACATTAACATGCTCAATCATGAAGCAAAACGTTTATCCAAACATCAGATTGCTAGAGGAATTCTATTCTAACCAACCTTAATTGGCATGCCATGTAGAGTCACCGAAGATCTAATTGCTATACAGTAGGGAAATTTGATTCTAATCAATCTTACTTGTAAAAGCACGAAAAGAGACATCAGAAAATAGATACATGTAACAACATCCCCGCAACTAAAGTGGTCCACTAATGTCTTCTTGTAATGTTGGCATGCCATAATCTAAAGTCTAAACTAACAAGCAAAAATGTCTTCCAATTTTGATCATACCTGAACCATTTCACTAATGAATTTCAATCCTCCTGGCCCAATGATCGACCCCGCAAGAAGATATCCAACAATGACCTACAGCACATCAAGAGAGTATAACATAACATCAGAATAGATAATTGACCACAGTGTGTAGCTCGAGATACTACAAACCCAATATCAGATGTTTCTCGATGCTAATATGTAAGGTTGCATACCGGTTGTCCAAGACAAGAGAAGACGATGCCACCAATTGCAGCAAAAACAATAATGACCACTAAATCTGATATTAATCTGAAAGAAATGCCAAGAACCTATCCATCACAAGTCTGAAACAGTGCATGTAACAAAATTCTCCAATACAGAGGAAATCTGAGAGAGACCAACCTCAAATCTACTTGAAGGATCGGATACTTAGATTTCTTGTTTGACATGACAAAAACATTATTCTGCAGAGTAGCAAAAGAATAACATTAGCTGCAACAATCAATAAATGATGAGATCAGTATTTAAAATCTTGCATAGTCTGCCAAAAACCTTTTTGTCAATAAGAGTCATATCATCAGAATCTTCATTTTCGAGGGAAAACACATCTTGAAGTTGAAACGGTCTCGTACCACTAGACACATTAGGATAAACAAGTCATAAACCCTCATTGAACCACTAATCAAATATAGCTATTTTCAACAATTACAACAAAATTTCACATACTTGTTTTCTTGTGTATCATTTCTTTTGCCCTTCTCATGAGTTACTTTTGCAACAGTCTCTATCTCAGCCTGGAAACCACAATTGCAAATATCAAAAGGGAGAATCTGAACCAGAGCTCAAGAACATCAAAAACTAACTAAACCTACTTGTTGATCAGCAACACTGCTGTTAAAGCTAGCTCCATCAGATCCTAAGCAAAAGAAAACATGATTATAGAACATATTAAGCTTCATCACAATCACAAACACAAGAATATCGAAGAAGAAGAAACCTAATGTTCCGTTTACTTTTTCACATTCAACAAAGAGATCGAAGAAGAAGAAACCTAACCTTCAGGAGAATCGTTTTCGGAAAATTCTTTCTCCAGAACTCGATCGAACATTTTAGCGATACTTCCTTCACCGTTTCCCGGTGCCGTCGAGTTCACGACGTTGCCGTAAAATCGCTCGCGCGTTTCTTCATCAGATCTCGCTGATAAGGATGTACCAAGTAAAAGGAAGAACGTAAATCCAATCACTGCGAATCTCGTCGCCATGGATTCAGATATTTTCCCAGGAATTTGGGAATCGTCGCGAATTCAAAAATGTTTCAGAATTCAGATTGATTTTGTTTTTTTTTTTTAAAGATGAGAGTTTTGGTTTTAGATCCAAAATTTGAAATTGAATCAATGAAAAAGAGTTTTTTTGTATTGAATGGTTGTTAAAAGTTGTTTAATATGTTAATTAGTGAAGTACTAGTCCATTTTGCACGATACAAATTAAAATAACACTCATATAATACAGTTGTATTGGACCATTGGAAGTTAATTTTCACCGAAATTAGTTGTTAACCCATACTTGAGGAATTCATTTATAAATGTATAAATCAAGAAATCATTTTTCAAAATTGCAAAAATTGAGGAACTACAATTGTCATTATTCCAAAAGTTTTCGCATAATTAAATCAAAATTCTGAACGGAATGGAACTTTATATTTATCATTTATATAGTATGATTTTATTACAAAATACTAGTAACTAAAAAGAAATTTAGGAGAGAGTTCATTAGTTAATGGATTTAAATGATTTGAGAAATCCAAGCAAAGCTATGTTATTCAATTATATTTTTACTATTTTAATATTTTCAATAGAAACTTAAATTTTTTTGTCAAAAACATCTTATATTGTGAAACAAAATAAAATGTCTAAAACATCATATAATATAAAACATAGGGAATGTAATACTAAACAAACCTTCACTTTATAAATAACTGAAAAGGGCAAGAAAAATAACAAAATTCACAAATTACTAAACATGATACTATCTCTTTCTTTGATTGTGTTTTTGGTAAAAAAATTATATAAATACATAAATGAATATTTAATAAATGTGTCGATATATTTAAATACATAAGTGAATACACCGGTCGTATCAACGTTGCATATTATTTGAATGTTCCTTACTCATTTTTCGAACACCAATACATGAAATGATCTATGATTGCATTCTTGAGTTGACTTTTTTTAAGGGTCAAATCTAGAATTGGTTTGTGAACTACAGTATCTATCAAAATAACTTATTATGTATAATTCACAAATTATATCAAGACTAATGATATAACTGATATATTAATTAAGTAATACATGATTTTGACAAAAACAAATAAATAATAATACATGATTATATAACTCACTGAAGTTCATCAATCTATTGAAACTTGCGAACCTATATCTTTTTGTTTGTCATGCATGCTAGCTTGGCGTGTCTTCTTTCATCTTTGAATCAATGTTTCGATTTTTTTTCTAAATTCTAAATGTAATTGAAAATTAAATTCTGCCAGCTGATTTTCTTAGTTTCTATAATTAAATCTCATTTGAGTTTGTGACCATATATTTCGATTCGTCCATCTCATACACACACTTTACGTCGTCGTTTAGTAGAGGGAGCGTGATGGCCACAAGCTCTTTTTCCCTTTACCTTTCACATATCTTCTTACTTACTTCATAAACAAATCACTGCCACATAGAGGCTGAGTAAGAGAGAGTCGTTCCAATGGCTATCATCGCAACCACGTTCGGCACGGGGCTAAGTTACGCCGGTCAGCTTCCATTCAAACGAGTCACCGCGGGAGAGGTGGGACAAAAGCAGCAGAGAGTGGTGGTGGTGAGAGCAGAAGGCGGTGGAGGGGGTATCAATCCGGAGATCAGAAAGAACGAAGAGAAGGTCGTTGACTCAGTCGTCGTCACCGAGCTTTCCAAGAACATAACTCCCTATTGCAGGTTTCACAATTCTCTTTTAAAAATATGGAAAGAAAAAATAACATAGTTAGCTACTATAACGAACAAATCTATTTGATACTATAATCCATGTTTTGCTAAAGCTTCTTTTCGTAAGATTTTCTTAGTAGTCTTTTTACAAACGAACAAATGTACGAATAAGTATTTGTGTGCATGTATATAAAATCATGGTCGTCATGGATTTGATTTGACGATAGGTGTTGGAGGTCGGGGACGTTTCCATTGTGTGATGGGAGTCATGTGAAGCACAACAAAGCTAATGGAGATAACGTTGGCCCTCTTCTTCTCAAGAAACAGTAGTTCTTTTTGTTTTGTTTTTCTCGTTTTTCTTGGTGATGTATTGATACTCGTCTAATTGAATAAAAAGATCATTAATATCTAGTGAAATAAAGTTTATAATCGTCCAAACGATGGTATAAAGGACAAATATTCAAAATTTTCTTAGCGATCATTGTTTGGTCGTCTTCTAATTTTGAAGTATTCTTTTCATCTTTCTCGAATGTAATTCATTCACAAAAGCTGACGGTCACCTTGGACCGCGGTGGTCAATGACATTTATCTCAGGACTCAGCGTTGACCAAGTTTTGGATGATTTTTTTCTGGCCATTAATATCCAATATCTATCTTTTGAGTTTTCCGGTCACAATACTCATGATATAGTTTGGTTAAGTAAAAATTAGTTCGGTAAATATTTGGTTAGTCAAAACTCAAATCTGATGAACTTTTAAAATTGATTGGGCCTTAAACTCGATAATGGGCCGAATTCGGAGGGGTGAAGAAATCCAACACCAACAACATTGACGGGACAAGACAAGAGAGAATAATCATGGCTTGCAAAAGCCCAGCCCCAAACCATGATAAGAAATGGAAAATCAATTTATGAAGACGACGAAGCTTTTTCATTCATAGTAGTAATCCACTCTTTCTCGAATACCTAGCAGCAGTCATCATCAATGGGAAAATCTAGCAAGAGTATCTTATTAGGTTCTCCTTCTCAAGGTAAGAATTTCGGTTCCCGACAGCCTAGTATTCCGACACCATCCCTTACTAACGATTCCGACAGATTCGGTTTTGTCACGGTGTCTGTGTCTCTTATGTCGTGAATCCCCAGAACTTGGTTCCATAAATTCATAAAAATCCCCAGCATGATTAGTGAATTCTTAAGATTCTTAGATTACAATAAGATTTAAGTATATTATTGACTTTGTAAATCTTAATTTTTTGAAACGCTTTTGCTAATTTTATAATTTGATGATTTTAGTGTTTTTTTGTTACTGCTGCTCTCTCCTTCAGATGAATTGAAGACAGTGAACCCAAAGAAGAGGCATAAGATTGAAAAATCTAAGAAGAAGAAGAAGGCGAGTGTTCGTTTTTAAAGCCTATTTTTCTTCTACATAAATGATACTACAATAACTACTCTTTTTTCACTCTCTCTAACAGCTTTCTATAAAATGTACAGATTGCTTCCATCAAACTAAAGACGGAATCTCTCAAAGACGCTGTGGACTCTCTCAAAGAAGATGTGGACTCTCTCAAAGCATCTGTGAACGATTTACTTGCCATTTTTACCGCATTCAAAGTATATAATCTCTTCTTGATCACTTATTTATTGTGTTACTACCACTTTTGCTATAGAAAATTGATTTTTCTTCACAAGTAAAGATAAATTTGCAATTACATAGACTTATTTTTCTTTTGTGATAACTATAGGAACCTGCAAAGATACCTGCTTCTGTTAAGAATAATGTCATTCCAGTTATTCAAAATTCTCCATCCTCTGAGGGTCACAAGGTGATACTTCATACCTCAGTTTGTTATCCTGTTTTCATTATTTTGCTTATGTAGTGTGACTTTTAGGACTCAAGCTAGCTGTTTTTTTCTCCAACCGCATTGACGATACTTCTTTGTAGATACTTGTTTCTGAGTCTTTTTAATTCTTTGACTCAAACCATGTTTTTTTGTTGATATTGGCAGAAAAGTGATGAAGGTGAAGAGCCTGCCCATAAAAAGGTAAGCAATAGTTAATCTTGTATAATATTATCTTTTTTATGTAAGTGCCTATTAACAAAAAAAATTCGTATTCTGTTTTGTATGTACAGGCTAAAGCAGATACCAATACTTGTAAAAAAGAGAGCAGCAGTAATGTTTCTAGCAAGGAATCTGATGTACTCGAGAAAGAAACCCTAAACCGAACATTACCTCCTTGCTCTTCTACTTTTACAAAGACTGCTGAGGTAGGCGAGAGAGTCTTATTCATTCCAAAACAAGGGGGAAGGTAAATTTGATTTTCCATGTTTTGGAGACTTATGTTGATGTGTTGATTATATTCTCTCCCTGCAAATTATTGCACTGATACTGGTGGTAACTTCAGATATGATGGTGGCACGATTTTCGTAAAGGGATATGATTCTTCGCTTGGTGAGAATGATATCGCGAGAGCATTGCTTGAACATTTCAGTCCGTGTGGAATGATCTCAAGAATTTATTTTCAAACAAATGAAACCGGTGCAGTTATCTTAAGGTCTGTAACTACTTTCTTACTCCAATTTTGTGACAAGTAAAGTTAAATGCTAATATTTTTCCCTTTCTTTTTACAGACATGTTTTCATTGAAATGTTACACGGCACAGAGGACGCTTTGAAACTTAATGGAAGTGACATGGGAGGATGCAATCTTGAAGTTTATAACGCTAAACGGAGAGAGGAATACTATATCAATCGTGAAGCGAGTGGTCGTTATATCCAGAATCGTCGTCATCTGCGTTTGGATAGACTTAAATTCACAAGGTACATAAATTTGTTCTTGATGATTGATTTGTCTCTTGATAACAATAGTGACTTGTCACTAATTTGTGATTTACTTTTTCTTTAGAGAAAAGCCCCCTGTGTATGGCATTGTCAGTTCTAGCAAGATCAACAAGTAATAGATGCAAATCAAGCCTAGAAGCATTACCTAAAGAAAAAAGAATCAGCTCGAAGAACAATGATAATGATTTGGTGAATGATGATGATAATGATAGAAAGAGAATGAAGAAAAAGAAAATATAGATTTTCTGATTGTTATTTCCCCAAATGGCCACGTACATAAGGGTTTTGCAAGGACAAGACGCTTGGTTCAACAAATGTAAACCGAAATACAAATTGCAACAATTAAAACCAAATGATTGAACCGGAATGCATAAAAATAGATGAGAATAGAATTTCGTGTTACACATAATCACTTGTCACTTCAATTTAAACATCAAAGCTCACAATTCACAACACATGAGCTAATTTTGTAAAGAACGAGAAATAACAGAACAGAAGTTGTTATTAATGAACTAAAATAAAAATCAAACATTGAATAATATATGTCCATCTATGTCAAAGTCTACGTCAGTTGGTGTATATGCTCCCTCATAACATTGTAGAATCATATTAGAATCTGTACATGAATATAAATTTGCCAAACATACATCCTTTATAAAATTTTATAAATTGACATGTACAGTTTACTTATTAATCCACTAGACGCTGAGTAACTCTGGAAACGATGTGATTGACACCGATATGTGCTTGTCTTCGATATCGTATTTCGATGAACATCTCGAACTCTTCATGCTCGTCTTCAATATCGCTCATAGGCTTGTGGTGAAAAATCATATCACTGATTATACCTTCACCCACTAAAATATCTCTAACGTATTCAGTCTTGCTTATTGCACCATGTTGATCAATTAAACATCAGAGATGGACAAAGTTGGTGAGATCTTTCAAAGTTAGAGACCTCCTTCCATTATCCTCGGGATATCCATTCAATATCGTGCTCAGGTTTAGAGAGGTTTAAAGCAAAAATAAAAAATTGTGGCCTTTTTATAAAATTTTTTTAAAAGAATTTTCATTCAAAACATACTAAACAATAATCAAAATTTATAATATCGAAATTCTAAACATAAATTTTGTTTTTATTTATTAATTTTTAATTCTCAAAATTCATATTTTATAATTTTCTAATTAATATTTTCACTATATATATTTTTTTAAATGTGGCCTTTATATATTTCTTTTTTAAGGTGGTCTTAGGCAATTGCCTATTTTATTAAGCATGAAGCATGACACTGTATCTATGTAGCTTACGTAATGCTGACAACGTTCTTATAAGAGCAATCGCCCAACAAATATCCATGTAGCTTATGTAATGTAGACTACGCACTTATAATGCACTTTTTTACCTAACTCAACTCCAACGACCGGACCAACAGTTTGAAAGAAGTCATCAATAGCCGCTTTGTCGATTACCGGATTGAGACCGGAAGCAAGCAACGTGTCTCGTTGATAATATTCATCTGTGGACGAATCATCCGAGCTAGATGGACTCCAAGATACCTCGGTACGAGGTTCTTTCGACAAAGCAAGAAGCGCAAGTATAGAGTTTATTGTAGTTTTTATACAGTCCACATTTTCTTTGAGAGAATATACAGTTCGTTTGATAAAATCCATGTCAACTTTGATCGCACTCAATTCTGCTTCAATCATAGAATCATGTTATCATTATACTCATGTTACAGTAACAACATTGTATCATCAATCATCATCATCATGTAGAAAAATAATGTCATGAACACTCACCTTATCCTTAGATTTTCCAGTCGTATATTAGATGGACTCCAAGGTTCCTTGGTACAAAGTTCTTTCGATAAAACAAGAATCGCAAGTAAATCTTCCCTTTTTGGCAGCAAACCAGTAGACGGTAGCATAGAGTTTACTATAATTTTGATATAGTCCACATCTTCTTTGACAAAATCCACAATTAGTTGATAGAATCCATATCAACTTTAATCGAACTCAAGCTTCAATCATAGAATCTTGTAATCATTTATTATGTAGACTAAATTTATAGTAATAGTTTATAGTTTAAATCAATTTATCGAATGGAAAAAAAATCAAAAAAAGAGATTTTATTTTTCACAGCGTGAAATTATTTTTAAAGAAAATGTAGTTTGATTTTGTAATTTGGCAAACATTCAATTGTTCGTTTTTGACTAAACTAATATACAGTTGAGAAGCAAATAAATGAACAATAAAAAAATCACTCCATATAAAATTAAGAGACAAGACAAATAAATTTTATTGAGAGCCTCACTTGGATTAACCGCAACGGATCTAGGAAACCATCGACGATTTAGGTTTTGGAAATTCTTTTGAATACAAATTTGAGCAAAACCGTAGTACGACAATGGTAAGCCCAAGTTCGTCGGACTTACGACTCATGCAGGGTCGGCCCGATAGAATATAATGCCTAAAGCAAAAACTAAAATTTAAGCTCTTACAAAAAAATTGAAAAAAATAATTAGCAAAAGTAAGAAAAAAGGTAGTCGAACTCGCGATCTCGAAGGTGAAGAGGATAGACTTAACCACTTTGTTGCAACATCTTTTTTTAAAATGATGCCCCTAAATATATTTATAGAGTTCTGGTGCCTAAAGCCCTACCTTCACGGGTTTTAGTCTTGGGACAGACCTGGACTCATGTGCGATTTTTTAAAAACAAACCAACATTTTAAAGAGTAAAAAATACAGTAAAATGGACAAACAAATAAATATTTTAGAGATTAAAAATAAAACATTTTAGAGAAGGATTGTATGATTCATAGATCATATAGTACGGATAAATGAAAAATGTTCCAAATTTTATTCTAATAAAAACTAATTTTCACAAAATCAAAATTTTAAAATCTAATAAATAGTAAATTATTATATAGAAAAATAAATTTAATGCAATATGAAACGAAAAAAAGTATTTTAATCTTGATGTGGTTCTTTTTCATCTTACTTAATTAAATATCGTGAATGTAGTTGAGTAAAATAACTTTATGTTTAGAAAATATTTACTAGGAGAATCTCAGTAATCCTCAAACTGGCCGTTTAAACAAAAACCGGGTTTCATTTCGGTTTTGGCAAATTGGACCGGCAATAACCGAACGACACCCTCTTAAACGAGACGTCTTCTTCTTCTTCTTTCTCGAAAATTCGCCAAATCTCTCCCACATTTTGGCTTCGAGCCGAAACTTTCTTCACCAATCTTCCTTTTGTCTCACGAATTTCTTCAATTTCTCCTTCAAGCTCCGTTCCCAGCAATGTCATGGTACCGAAGAACAAAACTTGTATTCGATTCCCTGCGACGTAACATAAACCCGAAGATTCTACCTCGATCTCATGTTCCTTCGAGAGTCAATCCAATTGGGTCTTCTAATCCCTCAGCTAAGTTCTCTGGGTTCTCCTCAATTTCTTCTCGTGAAGTAGGGTTACGATCATGGACATCTCTCGGCCAAAACACCAACAGAATCGCGTATAATCCGTTTCTGAGTGTACCCAAGAGAAATTACTACGTTGATCGATACCAAGTTCGTCATTTCAAGCCACGGGGACCAGGACGATGGTTTCAAAACCCTAGAACAGTGTTTACGGTGGTGATTGTTGGTTCCGTTGCTGTGATCACTTTATATGTTGGGAATTTAGAAACGGTTCCGTACACAAAGAGAACACATTTCATTCTCTTATCGAAACCTATGGAGAAACTACTTGGGGAAACTCAATTTGAGCAGATTAAGAAAACTTACAAAGGGAAAATTCTTCCTGCGATTCATCCTGAGAGTATTAGGGTTAGATTGATAGCTAAAGAAGTTATTGATGCGTTGCAGAGAGGTTTGAGTAATGAGCGTGTGTGGAGTGATTTAGGGTATGCTTCTACAGAGAGTAGTTTAGGAGGTGGTGATAAGGGAGTTAAGGAGATGGAAAGGGCTATGAGTGGAGAAGATACGATGACTGATATGAAATGGTCTAAACAAGATCAGGTTCTTGATGATGAATGGATTCAACAAAGTAGGAAGAAAGATTCAAAGGCGCATGCAGCGAGTAGTCATCTTGAAGGGATTAGTTGGGAGGTTCTTGTGGTTAATGAGCCTATTGTTAACGCGTTTTGCTTGCCTGCTGGGAAGATTGTGGTGTTCACTGGGCTGCTTGATATTTTTAAGTCGGATGCTGAAGTTGCCACTGTAATTGGGCATGAGGTATAAACCTTTTGATAGTTTTCATTTGTAAATGTACTATGTTGCTGTTAAACTGCTTGTTAATCTGAAAATAGTTAGGAGAGTTGCTATTGGAAGGAAAGCATGGTTTTTTTTTCTGATTGTTCTGTATATTGGTGTAGGTTGGTCATGCGGTGGCCCGACATGTAGCTGAGGGAATAACAAAGAACTTATGGTTTGCAGTCCTTCAACTGGTGCTATATCAGTTTGTCATGCCCGATCTTGTGAACACAATGTCCGCTCTTTTCTTGAGGCTTCCTTTCTCCAGAAAGTAATTCTCCTTCCCCTCTTCCTATCAACATCCTGTACTGTATTTCACTGTCTATCCTTTTATTTTACTGCAATAGCTCTTTTGTTCTCAAATAACTCATGAGTTCTACTTAGCATGTTGAGGAAAAGTTAGCTTTTCTGTGGAGTTTTAGGGTTCATCTCTCACATTCTTTAGCAAATGATTAGGAACAACAGTTCATAACTTTCAATAAATTGTAAGAACTAATCATCTGGTTAACCATTAGAAGGTGTTGGTGTAGTTAGCATAGTAGGAGAAGCGAACAAGAAAGGTTTGCGAATTAGTTTTTCACATTATTCTGCGAATTATCAGGAACAACAATTGGATATATTTTAACAAACTAATAATCATCTAGTGAACCATTTGGCTCCAAGAACTAATGTTTTAAGCTGCTGTTGTTCTAGTTTGGGGTAATGGTAAGAGAAATGAAATTTGTTTGTGTGTACGAGGAAGAAAAACAAGTTCTGATGCGTTCTATTTCCCCTTGTGTCTGTGTTTGGTGTTACATCACAGGATGGAGATAGAAGCGGATTACATTGGTTTGCTGTTACTTGCATCTGCGGGATATGACCCACGAGTAGCTCCTAAAGTGTATGAGAAGCTTGGACAACTCGGTGGAAACGTACTCGCAGATTATCTATCGACACATCCGTCGGGAAAAAAGAGATCACAACTTTTGGCTCAAGCCAATGTGATGGAAGAAGCACTAATGATCTATAGAGAAGTCCAATCAGGTCGCCGTGGCATTGAAGGCTTTCTTTAGCCCTCTTCTCTATGCATCTCGCCTGCTTCTGTACATTATTACTCTCCACCTCTCTTTTTTATGGTTTAAAACTTTAAATAAATTGCAATTTTACACATTAATCATGTTGCATGTTATGTTAGATGTTTATATCGTTAAATTGATTGGTGCAATAGAATGATTCCGATTGAGACGTATAGTTTGATATTTTGGTCTTGGAAAAACATTTTGACAGAAAATGCAAATGGTGAAAATAGGAAAACAAAAAAAAACACTCAAAAGTGAAATCGAATAGTTTTTAAGTATTTAATTCATGATATCTATCAATTCAATGAATCAAATTGATTGAGGAAAAAAAAAAATGAATCAAATTGATCCATTGGAACCAATCAATGGAAAAATATCAAATATCTAGATGAAGCCACTTCTTGGTTCCTTTGGGATATTACTAGCTTGAGAGATAGAGGGAGTGAGAAAGTGGGTCATTTAGAGTTTGAGCTTTAAATGTGTTTTTATAAATGTTGTGATAGACCGTTGAGCTGACCACTGCTATTATTATCAGTAAATTCAATTCCATAGACAGAGACCCAAAATTATTGTGGTTTTTTAGATTTTTTGTTTACATTTTTAGTATGGAGACCCAAAAAAAACACTTTTGACCAATGAAAATATCATTTATAAACATTTTTAAAACTAGTTAAACTAGCTAGTAATTAAAACATTAGTATTCTTAATGATGTTTTCAGACATTTCAATCATTACATCAAATCTTTGTTTTGGTAAATAAAACTCAAGTTTAGGTTTTTGTATCATATAAATACGTCAACACGGATCCACCGTTTGTATCAATGCATTAAGATTCATTTTAAGAGGTACGAATGATTCACTCTTACCAAAGAGAATCCTACAGACTTTTGTCTTAAAATTCCTACTTTTTAATTACATACTTTATGTTTTTCTGAATACTGTTCATATTCCTCCCCTCACAAAATTCCAAATCAAATAAAAAAGCTTGATGTGACTGATTTTGTTTCCTACGTAAATTGAAAATTGAGAAAGTGATAAATCAAGAATATGCTCGTAGACTTCAAGACTTACTTAAATGAATCTCATGCCTCATAATCTCATGCTTTAAAACTAAATTAACTAAGCATTAAGAAACTGAATTCGAGATGAGTAATAAATTCTCAAACCTAACGGTACTAATATTACATAGAAGTAGGAGAAGGAAGCCATGAGCACATTAAATACTCTTCTCTGCCATTACCAACCAACTTGTTAGTAATTATGCACACAGAACATCTATGAAAACCACCTCTTCCTTCATCTTTATTACTTCCTCCAAAGTAACAACAACAACTCTCTTTATCTCTTCTTCTCCATAGAGATAGAGAGAAGAATCATCTTCAACAATGGCTAACAAAAACCCACTTCAAAAACCCTTTCTTTTCATAATCTTATCAATCAATCTCATCTTTCTTCAAGCAGAAACAACTCAAATCTCTAACAAGAAGACTTATGTTGTCCATATGGATAAATCTGCCATGCCTTTACCTTACACTAATCACCTACAATGGTACTCTTCGAAGATAAACTCTGTAACACAAGGCAAATCTCAAGAAGAAGAAGGAAACAACAACAGGATACTCTACACTTACCAGACTGCGTTTCATGGTTTAGCTGCTCAGCTTACTAAAGAAGAAGCAGAGAGGCTTGAGGAAGAAGATGGTGTTGTAGCTGTGATTCCTGAGACAAGGTACGAGCTTCACACGACAAGAAGTCCAACGTTTCTTGGGTTAGAAAGACAAGAGAGTGAGAGAGTTTGGGCTGAGAGAGTCACTGATCATGATGTGGTAGTTGGTGTTTTAGACACTGGGATTTGGCCTGAGAGTGAGAGCTTCAACGATACAGGTATGTCCCCTGTTCCTTCTACTTGGAGAGGAGCTTGTGAAACCGGAAAAAGATTCTTGAAACGTAACTGCAATAGAAAGATCGTTGGTGCTAGAGTTTTCTATAGAGGCTATGAGGCTGCAACGGGAAAGATCGATGAAGAGCTCGAATATAAATCACCGAGAGACCGAGATGGTCATGGGACACACACCGCAGCTACTGTAGCTGGTTCATCTGTTAAAGGAGCAAATCTTTTTGGATTTGCTTATGGGACAGCTCGAGGGATGGCTCCAAAGGCTAGAGTAGCTGCTTATAAAGTCTGTTGGGTCGGTGGATGTTTCAGCTCAGACATTTTGTCGGCGGTTGATCAAGCTGTTGCTGATGGAGTTCAAGTTCTATCTATATCATTAGGTGGTGGGATCTCTACTTATTCTAGAGACAGTTTGTCAATAGCAACTTTTGGAGCAATGGAGATGGGTGTTTTCGTTTCGTGTTCTGCCGGTAATGGAGGTCCTGATCCGATTAGTCTCACTAATGTTTCTCCATGGATAACAACAGTTGGTGCAAGTACTATGGATAGAGATTTTCCAGCAACAGTGAAGATAGGAACTTTGAGAACATTTAAAGGAGTGTCACTTTACAAAGGGAGAACAGTTTTGTCTAAGAACAAACAGTATCCTCTGGTTTACTTAGGAAGGAATGCAAGTAGTCCTGATCCAACTTCGTTCTGTCTAGACGGGGCTTTGGATCGTCGCCATGTAGCGGGCAAGATTGTGATATGCGACCGCGGTGTTACTCCACGAGTGCAAAAGGGTCAGGTTGTGAAAAGAGCAGGTGGAATTGGGATGATTTTAACTAACACTGCAACAAATGGTGAAGAGCTTGTTGCAGATTCTCATTTGCTTCCAGCTGTTGCAGTAGGAGAGAAAGAAGGTAAACTGATCAAACAGTACGCGATGACGAGTAAAAAAGCTACAGCGAGTATAGAGATTCTTGGAACAAGAATTGGTATCAAACCTTCACCAGTTGTAGCAGCATTCTCTTCAAGAGGACCAAATTTTCTGTCTTTGGAGATCTTGAAACCTGACTTGTTGGCTCCAGGAGTGAACATTCTTGCAGCTTGGACTGGAGACATGGCGCCATCGAGTTTATCATCTGATCCAAGGAGGGTTAAGTTCAATATACTGTCTGGAACTTCAATGTCATGTCCTCATGTGAGTGGTGTGGCTGCTTTGATCAGATCAAGGCATCCAGATTGGAGCCCTGCTGCAATCAAATCAGCTCTCATGACAACAGCTTATGTTCACGACAACACGCTTAAGCCTCTTACAGATGCATCAGGAGCAGCTCCTTCATCGCCTTATGATCACGGTGCAGGACATATAGATCCTTTAAAAGCTATAGATCCGGGTCTAGTCTACGACATTGGACCTCAAGAGTATTTTGAATTCCTCTGCACTCAAGACTTAAGTCCTTCACAGCTCAAGGTATTCACAAAACATTCAAACAGAACCTGTAAACACACTCTTGCCAAGAATCCGGGAAACTTGAACTACCCGGCGATATCAGCTTTGTTCCCAGAGAACACACATGTTAAAGCCATGACACTTAGAAGAACTGTTACCAATGTTGGTCCTCACATTTCAAGCTACAAGGTTTCTGTCTCGCCGTTCAAAGGCGCATCCGTCACTGTCCAGCCTAAAACACTCAACTTCACTTCAAAACACCAGAAGCTTTCGTACACGGTTACTTTCCGGACAACAATGCGGATGAAGAGGCCTGAGTTTGGTGGTCTAGTGTGGAGAAGCTCAACACATAAAGTTCGTAGCCCGGTTATCATCACATGGTTGCCTCCTGTGTAGAACAACAACCAATGTTTGAGCAATTCTAATGTTTTTAGTTCCACAAATAAAAAAATTCCTCATGTAATGACAGCTATTCTCTAGATCAATGCTTTGTCATTTATAAAACAACCATATGTTCTTCTTTTGTCACAATGAGAACACTTAACACAAGTCAATTGAGTTTGACATAAATCAGATATGCAAAAACCAATGATAATTTTTCTTAGATTTGGGCTAGCAAGAATAACTTGGGCTTTAATAGGCCCAAGTAAAGACAACGCAAACGTTACATACTATACGACGTGATTTCTAGGGTTTAGCAAAACAGAGGCGATGAAGAGAAGACGAGAAGCTACCACACCATCGCCGCCGACACGACGACTTCTTAACCGTGAAGATATCAATATCCCTCTCGATGTAACGGTGGAGATACTGAAAAAGCTCCCGACGAAATCTATAGTGAGGTTCCAATTCGTTTCGAAGCAATGGTCATCAGTTATCAACATGCGTAGAGACTTCATAGACTTCATCATGAAACGTTCTTTATCTCAGCCTCCACGTGATGCTTATTTCATTGCTTCAGACCACTACCGAGAATGTTACTTAGCCTTCTCGTCTACTGACAAAGAAACAGTATTAATCCCTAAACGATTTCGTCATTACCTTCGCGGTTTGGTTTGTTGTTGGTCAAAATCTCGTCAGGTAGTTCTATATAACCCTACCACAAGGCAGTCCTTGTACTTACCAAAGAAGAAAACCATGCACATGGAGACTAGTTTCATCGGGTACGACTCTCTTGCGAATCAGTATAAAGTATTGTTCTTACCAAAGTACAATCCTGAGCAGCCTTGTCTAGTTTTTACATTGGGAGAAACAACAACGAAGTGGAAGACTATACAAGGCGTTGAATCTCACCATCCATTGCAAGGTGCAGTTTGCATCAACGGGACAATCTATTACCAAGCAGGGATTGTTGATCAATATGACTCTACTTCTTTATATAAATTGATGAGTTTTGATGTTAGGTCTGAAGAGTTTTATAATGTTGACGCTCCTAAAACATTGATGGATTATCGTTCGTATCTTATAAACTATCAAGGGAAGTTAGGATTGGTGTGTTGCGAAAAGGGCTTGGAGATTTGGGTTATGGAGACACAAGGATGGTCCAAGATTTTCTTTAGTGATGAGATGGAGGGTTCTAACAAATGGTGTAGCATGGGTGTTACTCGTGGTGGTGAGATCGTTCTTGTCAAGTGTGCCTACCGTACTCAAGACATGTTGTTTGTCTTATATTATGATCCAGAGCGAAAAAGTAATAGATATGTGGACCTTGAAAGCATTTATCCGAAGGAAAAAAGGCGTACCGATTGTATAATTTGGACGGTTCCAGATTATGTTGAGAACACAATGCGTTTGTATTAGTTAACAATTTTCTAATATAGCTTAATTAATTATGGTTCTTCTTTATTAATATGGTTTCAAATGTAACTGAGGTTAAGATTAGATATATTCCAAAAATATTAAACGTCTTTTTAGGTTTTTGTACAGAGTAAAAAAAAATAATAATAATAAACAACGATAGAAATTATTAGATATGCAGATCTTAAATACATTCCTCATGTAATGAGAGCTCTTCTCTAGATCAATGATTTTGAAAACATGCAAGAATCGTTCTTTGTTAGTTTTTGTGCATATGGAATTATGGATGGTACACCCAAATGCTCTTTTTATATGCAGATTTGTTTCTTTTGATTTGTTTTTGTGAATTTGTATTTTACATTTCGATGCATTTGATATCAATAATGATTAAATTGGACATGTTTCAGTTTTAGTTTTCATGTATTGTTTATGTACTAAATTATATTTACAACTAACTATAGTTAAATTTTCATTTTCATTTTCATAACATAGTTAAATTTAATAAATTATTTGTGTAGAAAATGAAAAAAAAAAAACATAATCGTCGAAAACATTTTAAATATATAGAAAATGAAATAAATCTAAAACATTAGAAATTTCCAATTATATAATGATAAAATTTCATTAAATCATTTTTAATTTCACCGTTTATCAAATTTTAAATATTTTTTTATAATTTTCCCTTTTTAATAGTTTAGAATTTTTCTTTGTTAACCTAAACTCAAAGGGATTAGTGGGTTTGGACTTTGGTGGTTCACATAACGTTTAACTACTCTAGCATGTATGTGATTCTAACCAAAAATCTCAAAAGCGGGAAACAAATTTTGAAAACTCAGGGTCATAATCGTAAATTCACATGCTGATTGTTTCGAAAAAAATCACATAAATAGCTGGCCTCTCTGCTCTCGATTTGCAACGTTAACTCTTCTCCTCCCACAAATAACGGTCAGCGAGAGTTGAAATTTCAAAATTCAATTCTTCATATCCTCTTTGAAGAAACAACGAGTTAGGGTTTTACGTAATCGCATGGAGAAGCGATTTTGTTTTTCTATATTCTTCTTCTTCCGATTCTTTTCTCCGATCAATTGAATTACGTGTTCAATGGCGTCTCTGATTCGTTGGGTCAATTCAAAACGGGAACCAAGGGTTTTTGAGTTTTGGTCGATGATAAGTCTGACGATTGATAGTTACGAGGATTAAGACTTATCTATTGGTTTGAATCAGGATCGTGTGATAGTCCTACCAAATCGAAGAAGGTACGCGTTCGACCTCTCTCTCTCTCTCTTCTTTGTTAATTTGGGAAACTTAGGGTTTTGATGTGGAATTTGCTTTCCTTGATTTCTGTTGTAATTTATTGGTTTGATGGTTCTGAGATCTTGCAATTAGGGTGATTGCGAACTTGTTCAATGGGTTTTAAATTTGGTGATCGGAGAGTTTTAATGTTCTGAAATAGTTAAACAGAGTTTACATCAAATATCTCTCTGATTTGTTGAAATTGATGAATCTAAATGGCGTTGTTATGAGTCTATCACTGTCTTTATCTGTGATTTTGTGAAGATTAATTTGAAAATAAAATGGTTAATTTTTATATTCATGCAAGAAGAATCTATGGGAACACATACATTGTTTATCTCAGATATCTTTTGTTTCTATATTTGCATGTTCATGTCCCCATTTCCGAGATCTAATCAGTCTTGTGGTCATATGATTCAGGCAACCAAGTGGCAATTCATATCTCAATTTGGAGACGGAAACAAATGTAAGTTTTGAAACACTGTTTAAGTTGTATTTGTTGCCTAGATGATATATTGGAGTCTCTTTTATATTATCTTAATGTGTTCTCATGAGTGAGATTTTTCAGTACCAACATTATGCGTCAAGATTTTACAGTAAAAAGATTAGTAAGCAGTCAGATTTTGGCTCTGTAAGACTCTTACCAAGTTTTTTTCTTGGCATTGGTTTTGTGGTTTCATTTTTTGTTGTACTTTCAGGTGGCTCAGTAAGCAAAAGCATATGAGGGGTCGTGTCTCCTGCTTCATGGTCCAGAGATAAAAAATTTCGAAGGTGATTTTGTAGACGAAAGCATATGAGAGGTCAGATATCTCTCCCTCTATTCTCATGCCTATTGTGTCATGCATAGATTCTCTGAGTCATCTATTGTGTCTTGGCTTGTTTGGGTTACTCACACTATCTAGAAACACACACGTTCACAGACACAACAGACACAATGCACTAACTCAAAACAAACCCAAAACAAAACTCAAACATAACATACACAAACTCAAACACAACACAAAAAAAAAGTTCACATCACACGCAACAAAACTCTAAACACACGCAAACACAACATAACACAAGAAATAAAATACAGCACAACATAAAACTGGACACAAGAAAGAGAGAAAACAACAATAACTTCACGATTAATATCTTTTTTTTATTGGTAACTAAGAACTTTGAGATTCTGTTGCTAAGTCAATTTCAGGTGAAGTATCTTTCTCTTCTCATTTTCTTTCCTTTCTTGGTCTCTTACAACTATTAATCATTTTGTTGGTCCTTGTCAAGATTAACAGAAACAACAGGAGAAAAGTAGTCGAATCCCGACATTGGATCCGACTTTGTAAGATTTGCAGTAAGTTTCTTCATAAGCATTATTTTTGTTGTTTAATTTTACAGTCTTATGTACTTAGTAGCTGCTATTAGAATGGCTTTGTATCAAGATGGATGACTTTTAAGCTGAAAATAACTAAACTTAGTAGAGTGATTCAGTTGCCTCGGAAAAAGGAAGGATCAGGTAGATAATCATCTCTTTTCAGAGTTTTTGTAGTGTTTTTATGGTCTTGTGTGTATATAGTATACTGCTAACATAATGGTTTTGTAAAGAATCAAATTTAAGAAAGCAATTCAGTCTCCCAGAAAGAAGAATGGTCAAGTAGATAAACACATTGATACAATTCTTTTCTGGAAATGTCTGACGTGTTTAAGTGATCTATAACTTGCAGGAACTAAAAAAGCATATCACATTTCTCTACTAGATCTCGATTTCCTAGGTACAATACTAACGAAGTCAGGGATCGTATTCTAGTTGTTAGAGAGTCTTTTGCATATGAGACACCCAAATTTATTCTTCAGTAATAAGGTGACTAAATTTCTTCATCTCCTCTTACACAACATGACATTCTCTTGTTGTCATGTATATTAATTTTTCAGACATTTATTAGCATTCCATACAATAGTTTCAGATTAGCTATGTTCATCTTTTACACTCTATGATGGTTTTTACATAGTTTCATATTGTTTTACTGGTCTCGAATGTGTTATTTCTTAAAGCCATTAGTAACAAGAAGCCATTTACGAATTCGTCAAGATTAAAAGCCATTAGTAACAAGAAGCCATTTACGAATTCTACAGGGACAAAGATGTAAGACTAAGCTTGATTTTATTGTAAGTGAATCCATTGTATATATTTGTAATTGCATTTATTTAGTTTCATATTTCTAAACTTGGGCTTTGTTTACATCTTCTATGATCGTTTGATGTTTGTTTTGATCAGGTTTTGAAACACAGATAAATCATCTTTGCTGCCAATGATGGTTGGATTCTCTTTTCGACATTTTATTGCGTTTCAAGCGTTTTGCAGTTTATATTCCTCTAGAGTGAGATTGTTTTCCTAACTTGAAGAGTTTTCTTTTTCAGTTGGGTTCTGCGTTATACAGCATGATCCGTCAAGATTAAAAGCCAAAAAGATTAGCAAGCAGTCAGATTTTGGCCTGTAAGACTCTTACCAAGTTTTACTTTCCTAGCATTGATTTTGTGGTTTCATTTTATTGTTTGTGTGTTATACTTTCTGATAAAATTTTGGTTCAGCAGGCAAGAGAAAATATCTTTGAGGTCCAGAGAACAAAAATTTCGAAGGTGGTTTTGTAGCCAAGAGCATATGAGAGGTCATATATCTCTCTCTCTATTCTCATGTCTATGGTGTCATGCATAGTTTCTCTGGATCATCTAAACAGGTTATTTTTAGTTGATTAGCCGAGTTGTCTTGGCTTGTTTGGGTTACTCACACTATTTAAAAACACACACGTTCACAGACACACAAAAAAAACACAATGCACTCGAACTCAGAACACACCAAAAGACAACAAAACTCAAACATAACACACAGTCACACACAAAACTCAAACACTACACAAAAAAAAAAATCACACCACACGCAACAAAACTCTAAACACACTCCAAACGCAACTAAGCCCAAACACAACATAGTACAAGATATAAAATATAGCACAGCGCAAAACTAGACACGAGATTGAAAGAAAGAAAAACAATAACTTCACGGTTAATATCTTTTTTATTGGTAAGAATTTTGAGATTCTGTTGCCAAGTCAATTTCAGGTGAAGTACCTTTCTCTTCTCATTTTCTTTCTTTTCTTGGTCTCTAACAACTATTAATTATTTTCTTGGTCACATTGAAGTTTAGTATGTTTTGTTAGCAGTTTCGTACTTTGATGATATTCCAAAAGAGAAATTCAAAGCCACTACAAGCAAAAGCGGTGTCCTGCATACGAAATTTATCTAGATATCAGATATGTTTCTTACTGTTCAGGTGAAGTCTCTCTATTTTTTCCCATTTACATTGCTTTATACAAATTTCTTATCAATACATACTTCACAAAGGACAAAACCAATCGCAAAAACTGATTTTTCTCATAATTAATAAACATGTTCAATATGTTAGCTGTGGACATTGTTTCCTTGTCAAGATTAGCAGAAACAACTGGTGCTATCAAAGCAGTCGAATCCCGACTTGGATCAGAAAGTAAGTTTCTTCATAAGCATTATTTTTGTTGTTTAAAGGCTGCTATTAGAATGGTTTTGTATCAAGATGGAGGATCCTTAAGCTGGAAATAACCAAACTTAGGAGAGTGATTCCGTTGCCTCGGAAAAAGAAATGATCAGGTAGATAAACTATCTTCATCTCTTCTCAGAGTTTTTGTAGTAAGATGGAAGATTCTTAAGCGTAAAAGAACCAAATT